GCCAGGGTTTGTGACTAAGTGGCTACTAAAAAAGACTAGAAACCACATTTTGAAAACCCTGGGTTGTCTGCAAATGTTATGTCATGATGGGGTTAATTTACATTCCTGGGCTGCCATATGGTCGCAAAGGCAACATAGGCCCAACCAAAAAATGTGTATTTTATTGCAGTAAAAGCTAACAGTATAATGACATTCCCAGTTAAATGCCATGCAGAACTGGGAAAATAACAAAATGTCTTAATTTTTCACACTTCTATAGATTCTAAATTATGGTTGAACAGAAACATAGCTCAAATTCTAAGTTTTGTTTTGGTCAGAACTTCGACGATTGACTTGATCCTTAAACGGTTTTAGATTGTGCAATTTAATTTGGTGACTTGCATTTCGTTTTAAAAAGAACCTCTTGACAGTTCACATAGAATTAAGTAATGAATATATCATTATCATAAAATTGGCGTGTTAATGAATATATGTTACACCCATTGGCTTTGATATAGAGCTAGATGTTTTAATGGTGTGAAATGTGTAGGACATACAAACAGGCTGCATTTTTAAAATTCCAGATGTTGCTGTTTAACACGTAAATTGCATCACTATGTGATATTACCAGCACAGAGAGGCATTCACTTCTTATCGGACAAACTTCCCGCGGCTCACATTGTACAAAATAAACAGAGGGACGGTCAAGGATACCAGCAACCGGGAAAATTGAGAAAAAAATAAGCCATCAGATGGAAAGGAGGTTAACACAAGGGTCAGGTTTACCCAGCTGGAGACGATATCTTAAAAGTAGAAGTTAAATGGCAGGTGATTCTTTTAAAGTGACGCTGTCACTTCAAATTGACCTTTTTTCAGTTGTTTCCTCTTCTCTTCCTCTTTCAGACTCTGTTCTTCTTTTCTTTATTTCTGATCTGTTTCTCTTTAAAACAAAAGACAAAGTAGAGTCTTCTTTGGTTCATGTATTTTTCCTACACTAGACAATTTAACAAAGAGTGGAGTTAGGGCACACTTCGACCTTTGTTATTTTTGACATAGGAAGTGGAGTTTGCCTTAATCTCCACCCATTGTCAAGGTTTGTCAGACCTCGGAATCATACGTTAGACAAAGTAGCCCTTACCTTGTCTTATGTTTTAAAGAGAAATGAAGAATAGAGGAAGAGGAAAGGAAACAATAAAAGAAAGGTGAGTTTAAGGGGAGACAGAGTTACTTTAAAACCAAAAGGAATAAAATCTCCAATAAAATGAGATATTGTAAAAAATAAAATATCCAGAGTTAAAGGGAGCAGTTACTTCCCATTTTTAATACTATTTTTGCTTACCCCTTTTATTTAACAAATATGTATTTGTGAGACGTAAAACAATACAATTAAATTAAGAAATCCACACCTCTTAATTCTATTTTCCTACCTTTTCACTGCAATCTGAGAGGGCCAGATACGTAAACAACCACTCCGGCACTACTACAGTGTTAAAAATACAGAGTTTGTATTCCTAACACGTTAGTGTTCCTTTAAGGCCAAAGTAGTGGAACTAAAAGCACAGCTAATTTAGACAATTTTTCCAGTTTAGGCTATTTTTCCTTTAATTTGAAATCCCCTTTGAATTCACCTTGAATTCTCTCTTTAGTGAATGACCCTGTTAGTTTTTCTAAATTACACAATCGCAGGAGAGAAGGTGGGTTAGTGCGGTGTGGGGAGGGAAAGCCGTTAAGAGTGTGATTGACGTGCCTTGTTGAATAAGTGTGTTTTCAGTGATTTTTATTTATTTCTTTATTTATTTCATTTTAACAGAACACTATAGTCACCTAAATTACTTTAGCTAAATAAAGCAGTTTTAGTGTATAGATCATTCCCCTGCAATTTCACTGCTCAATTCACTGTCATTTAGGAGTTAAATCACTTTGTTTCAGTTTATGCAGCCCTAGCCACACCTCCCCTGGCTATGATTGACAGAGCCTGCATGAAAAAACTGGTTTCACTTTCAAACAGATGTAATTTACCTTAAATAATTGTATCTCAATCTCTAAATTGAACTTTTATCACATACAGGAGGCTCTTGCAGGGTCTAGCAAGCTATTAACATAGCAGGGGATAAGAAAATCTTAATTAAACAGAACTTGCAATGAAGAAAGCCTAAATAGGGCTCTCTTTACAGGAAGTATTTATGGAAGGCTGTGCAAGTCACATGCAGGGAGGTGTGACTAGGGTTCATAAACAAAGGGATTTAACTCCTAAATGGCAGAGGATTGAGCATTGAGGCTGCAGGGGCATGTTCTATACATCAAAACTGCTTCATTAAGCTAAAGTTATTCAGGTGACTATAGTGTCCCTTTAAGGGATGGAGCAGCAATTTGTTACAATAAATCAATTGACTTTTTTGGGTATAATAATTAATATAAAATGATACGATATTATATTTTGTATCACCCTCTTTACGGGGATTTCTAAAGTAATATTCTTCATTTTCTTTATTTTAATTACAGTTTGTTCCACAAGTACTTTTCAATATAATGCTACAACATGTTTCTATGGATATTGTATTTCTGTCCTGGTGAATATTGTCTCTATAAATCCGCAAAGTAGCAGATAATATAATTTCCTGTCCAAGATATGAAATCTGCCAGAGGTTCATTTAACAAACGTCGAGAAAATAAATTACCACAAGGATGGAACGTTGATGAATTGTATATTTTATTACCTGTCATCTGGATAGTAATGCATGAGATGGCGTTTGAAGAAAAGGGCATTTTAAATGAATCCAGCTCTGCTTAATAATTTACTTCCCAGTAATTAAAATATGCTATCAATATGAATATAAATGTGCTTAGAATGTTTCCATGTTTGATGCACTTTTTTCTGCAGTTATGTTTCTCACTTAACTTTTATATATGTATAAATCAGCCTGTTGTTATTTTCTAGCTGCCATTATTGTCTGGATTATATTTATAGACCATTAAAGGGACATTATAGTCACCCAGACCACTTCATCTTAACTTGCAATAAGGACTGGGCTTCTTGTAAGGCTTTTCTGGTGGTGAGGAAGTCAGGTCTGAACAGCCTGAGCGTGGAGGTCTGAGTTTTGAGATCTCGAGGAGCTGCATTAAATGGTGTGATTATGGGCTGCATTGTAACGGAGGTAAGGTAGGGTCTGTCACTGGTATGTGAAAGGCTGTGTAGCTTCTGCCAAAAGTCAGCAAAAAAAAGCAGGTCCAGCCAGGCCATGATATTGAAGAGCCTTGGGGTGTCAAGGAGAGCATGCCTTCTGCCATATTGAAATGTCAAGTACACCTTACCACATGTCAAGCAAACATTACCCTGTAGCAATAGGTGCCTGGATACCCATAACAGCATGCAGATCAGAGGCCTCTACATGCTGGTAGGCGAGTAATGGAGAGATTGTTTGACTCTCTCTCTCACCGACAGGGCTGCCATCAGAAATGTTGGGGCCCCTGACACAGCTCAAGGTCTGGGCCCCCCGGTGCCTGCACCCGAGTCCGCCCAAAGTGCTGCCCCCCCCCGAATCCGCCCACAGGGATGCAGTGTCTACAGGGCCGGTGCAAGGATTTTTGCCGCCCTAGGCAAAAGTAAAGTTTGCCGCCCCCCCCATGTGACATCACAATGCCCCACCCATGTGATCTGCCATGTTAACTAACAGCAGTGCTGCAGTGCCGCCGTATTTACATTAAAAGGCCTGCAGGGACAGGCTAGACACCAGAACCACTACATTAAGCTGCAGTGGTTCTGGGGACTATAGTGTCCCTTTAATGTGAGGTAAATTAGAGATTAGTGCCACGAATAATATACTAGATTGCCTACTTACAACCAGATGAGGATGATGATGGGCTCTGGCTGCCGTCTGGCTCCACTGGTCTGGTGTACAACAGGCTCTCTGGAGGCGGTTTGTAACTGGTCACAAAAATCACTGTTCTGGGAGAACGGGAAGCAGCTCCATTTTTTTGAGGGCCCTTTACACAGCTCAATGTCTGGGTCCCAGGGTCCACCTTCATGTTCCACCAATGAGTTTGTTCACAGGGAGTGGAGTGTGTGTGGGGGATGTCCTGATGTGTGTAAGGAATGCATTGTGTGAATCTGTGTAAGGGCTGCAAGATGAGTTTGTGTATGTATAGGATGCAGTGTGTGCGTCTGTAAGGGATGCATTGAGTGTGTGTTAGGGGTGCATTGTGTGTTGCTGTGTGTAAGGGATGCATTGCTTGTGTACGTGTATCTGTGTGTAAGGCATTGTGTGTTTTTCTGTGTGCAAGGGGTGCATTGTGTGTGATGGATGTCAATCTCTCCCCCTCCCCCCCCCCGTCAATTTCCTTCTCCCCCCTCTCCCTCCAATTTCCTTCTTCTCCCCCTCCCTCTCCAATTTCCTTCTTCCCCCCTCCAATTTCCTTCTTCTCCTCCTCCCTCTCATTTCCTTCCTCTCCCCGTCTCTCAAATTTCCTTTCTCTCCCCCCGTCCCTCAAATTTCCTTCCTCTCTCCCTCCCTCAAATTTCCTTCCTCTCTCCCTGCCTCAAATTTCCTTCCTCTCCCCCCTCCCTCCCTCAAATTCCATTCCTCTCCCCCCTCAAATTTCATTCCTCTCCCCCCTCCCTCAAATTTCATTTCTTCCCCCCCCATTTCATTCCTTCCTCCCCCTCTCCTCAAATTTCATTCCTTCCCCCCTCCCATTTCATTCCTTCCCCTTCCCCCCTCCCATTTCATTCCTTCCCCGTTTCAGTTTCTTCCTCCTCCCCCCCTCCCATTTCATTCCTTCCCCCATTTCATTCTTCTCCTCC